CATAGAAGCCACCATATATATATATATATTTGCAACAAGGGGAAGCACATGGACAAAAAAACGAGAAGTAGAGGTACATGGGATAGATGTCACTCCCTTGTCATCATCTCTCAGAAAAACTTGCGAACTCCTTGGTGTGGTGTCTCAAGCTTATACGTCTCGTAGGGATAGATGAGGTTGTTCTTCAAGATCCAGTCCGCGACTCTATTTCCTTATTGATACATATGAGCTATGCGAACCACTCAAACCTGAGTTAGCTTCCTCCAAATGGCATCGTGAAGAGTTGCGTGCCATAGCTAGATGGGAGTCTGTTTCCACCAAAATCATTATGCATCCTTGCCTCCATGCTAGATCCGGAATGTGGTAAAGGCCCCAAAGCTCCGTAATTGCAGCTGAACAAATACCTAGGCTTGCCACAAAATCACAGATCCATCTTCTGTTAGTGTCTCTAAGAGTTCTGCTTGCTCCAACATGGCCCGGGTTTCCATTGGATGCTCCGTCTATATTTAGTTTCAACCAGCCTTGTGGAGGAGGTTTCTACCCGATCTCGGCAGTCTCCGGTTGAGGAGAGGCTCTGTTCCTTCCAATCAAAAGACTCGAAGCTCTCCAAGCTTCATTCCTGTTTACACCAAAATAATTTTCATTAATTATTACATGTATGAACAGCTTGGCAACTTTAAGTAGTTGGCTCATGTGTACATGGATGGTCCAATTTATCAAGATGGGTCGTAGGGTTTATGGATGATAGTGTCCAACATTATGGATATCATCCAAATCCCATTATGGATACCATCCAAATCCCATTATGGATACCATCCAAATTCCATTATGGATGGTAGTATCCAACATTATGGACACCATCAAAATCCCATTATGGATGGTAATGCCCAACATCACGGACACTATCCAAACCCTAGGACATATGGTACCATCGAAGATCAGGGACAACATCCCAAATAAAATGGACACCATTCAAACTCAAAGTGGATGGTGCCATCTAACAACAGGGATACCATCCATTTTCTTTGGTGTATGGTGACCATCAAATTGTTCATCCATGGTACGTAAGGTTGATTGTCTAGGGACATGATGACGTGTTGAAGGTGGTTACTAGAAGCAACAACTGACTTGCAAAGGACGCTCGGAGGAGTTACTGAATGCTATGTGGAGCTGATTTCGAGGAAGAGAGAGAGAGAAGGCGGTTAGAGGGAAAGACACAAAAAAACTTGCAGCAAGACTATGGAGGAGGGACAGGCAAATCAAATAAAAATCAGTCTCGTCAAAATTTATATTTCTCTCTCTAGAACACTAACCGTAGCAGTAGCAACAGGGCCCCTCCAATGAGGCTGCTCTGTTAGTTGTAGTTAGTAGTTGCGGAGCTCTCAAGGAATCTCCATTGGAGTAGAGGTAATAGTAAGTAGATCCTAGGATGTATGCATCGAACACCCTCGTTAGAACAGTGTTTAAAGAGGTGTGAAGCGAGTAACATCGTGTTATGTTTTCTTGAAATCAGGGTGCATTGATCAGATAAGGAGGGCACTCCCGGAATATGTGGGGGATCGCCTCCTGAAGAGCAAAGCTTCATCTAAAAGCGCATCCAATTCGAACTTATCTTCCCCAACATCACGAACCACGCGAAGCAGTGGACACACTTGGGTATTTCCTATATATATGGGTGGTCACTAATAGCTAGAGAGGCGACTCCGGCGAACTGGGAAAAAGACGACAGAAGGCAACGACAAGTCTCTACGATGGCATGGTTAGAATTGACAGCGGCGATGGTATGGTGGCAGACGAGGGCAACAAGGAGAGAGGGGAAAAGCAAATCCGCGCTCTTGTGAAAGTCAATTTGTGAATTCAGGGCGATCACACTATATTTCGATTTTCGCGCTCGAAATTAGGCTTTCGAGCGCGGCAATCCAAGCATGGCGAATTAGGTTACATAAACTCAACGAAGGTTTTCCACAAAGAACAAGATCTTCAGTAAATATTTAGTGAGATTTGAAACGATCAGAGAAAAAATTATCCTAATTACTTACCATGTATGACCCCTATACTATGCGAACCACCCAATACTTAGTTAGCTTCCTCCAAATGCCATCGTGAAGAGTTGCGCGCCATAGCTAGATGGGAGTATGTTTCCACTAAAATCATTGTGCATCCTTGCCTCCATGCTAGATCCGGAATGTGGTAAAGGCCCCAAAGCTCCGTAATTGCAGCTGAACAAATACCTAAGCTTGCCACAAAATCACTGATCCATCTTCTGTTAGTGTCTCTAAGAGTTCTGCTTGCTCCAACAAGGCTCGGGTTTCCATTGGATGCTCCGTCTATATTTAGTTTCAACCAGCCTTGTGGAGGAGGTTTCTACCCGATCTCGGCAGTCTCCGGTTGAGGAGAGGCTCTGTTCCTTCCGATCAAAAGACTCGAAGCTCTCTAAGCTTCATTACTGTTTACACCAAAATAATTTTCATTAATTATTACATGTATGAACAGCTTGGCCACTTTAAGTAGTTGTCTCATGTGTACATGGATGGTCCAATTTATCAAGTCGGGCCGTAGGGTTTATGGATGGTAGTGTCCAACATTATGGATATCATCCAAATCCCATTATGGATACCATCCAAATTCCATTATGGATGGTAATGCCCAACATCACAGATACTATCCAAACCCTAGGATATATGGTACCATCCAAGATCAGGGACACCATCCCAAATATAATGGACATCATTCAAACTCAAAGTGGATGGTGCCATCCAACAACATGGATACCATCCATTTTCTTTGGTGTATGGTGACCATCAAATTGTTCATCCATGGTATGTAGGGTTGATTGTCCAGGGACATGATGACGTATTGAAGGTGGTTACTAGAAGCAACAACTGACTTGCAAAGGACGCTCGGAGGAGTTAATGAATACTATGTGGAGATGATTTCGAGGAAGAGAGAGAGAAGGTGGTTAGAGGTCAAGACACAACAAAACTTGCAGCAAAACTGTGGAGGAGGGATAGACAAATCAAATAAAATCAGTCTCGTCAAATTTTTCTTTCTCTCTCCAGAACACTAACCGTAGCAGTAGCACCAGGGGCCCTCCAACGAGGCTTCTCTGTTTGTTGTAGTTAGTAGTTGCGGAGCTCTCAAGCAATCTCCATTGGTGTAGAAATAACAATAAGTAAATCCTAGGATGTATGCATCGAACACATTCGTTCGAACAGTGTTTGAAGAGGTGTGAAGCGAGTAACATCGTTTTCTGTTTTCATGAAATCAGGGTGCATTGATCACCCGAAATTTTACCTAAAACAATTCCAAAGCTTCGCTTTGATTCTGAAGAGTTTTATGAAGCCCATGAAAACTCCCCTCGTTTATATTCTTCCATATTAACCATAGCGAGATGCCAAAGAAAGCATTCCATGTGGTAGTATATACCTGTTGGGGTGGAATCCTCTTTGGAGATGTTGCTTTCCAACTATAAGGAGGTATGGGTCGAGAAGAAATCATGTTGTGCTCCAGCGGGAACAACTCGGTCGCAAAAGAAAATTGAATGCGGGCACTCCCGGAATATGTGGTGGATCGCCTGCTGAAGAGAAGAGCTTCCTCTAAAAGCGCATCCAATTCGAACTTATCTTCCCCAACATCACGAACTATTAGATCTCCCTTTCTCGGACCATTGGATTGGGTATTGTAGGACTAGAAAACCCAAGGATTTTGTACCCTAACCCAAGCCATAAATAATTCGTCTCTGTCCTTGCCATGGTCGATTGACCGCGTCCCTTAGCTCGGTGAGGGAGAGGCGATTGTCCGAGAAAAGGCCGCCGATAAGCATCCTGGATTTGCGGACTCGGGTTGGTTGGATTTCCTCGAGAGAGTATTCCACCACTTGGTCATTCGTGACGCGAGCCATGGGTTCCACCTGCGTAGAGAGTGGATCAGAAAGGCTTTTCAAGGAACGTTCGGCAGTTCCCTTTATTGACCAAGGGAAGCTCCAAAGGAGTTTGCGCAAGCACTGCATGGGAGCAGAACCCATCCAAACATGAAAGTGAATATCAGCAAGGAAAGCACCCACTTACCGGAGAGGTCTCGTGCTTCTCGGTACGCTGTCTTCCTTCGCCAGTCAATTGGTTACCGAGCTTCTGAGAGCATATGGAAACCGAAGGGCAGGAAGTACGGATTAAATAGCCCAGCATGGGTTGGGTTATTAACGGCCTGGAAAGGCCAAGTTGAGTTAGGAAACTCTTATTACGGATTCTACTCCCGATCTGCGTAGATCTTCCACCGCGTTTTACGACACACTAGAGGTTATGAGTCGTGCCACCGAAACGAGAAGTTAGGGCCTCCTTTAGTTTGGTGGGAGTCCAACTCAAGGTAGGTATACTAATGCACCCTGATCGTCAGCCCACGGTCGGCCAGACAGGGCTCACCGGACGGCCGCCGCTCGCCGCGACCTTCGAAAACCGCCCGTCTCTCATCTCACCAGACTTCGCTCCATTCCGGGATCTGAATCCTGGCTTCATCGTATTTCCTTTCACATTAAATTCTAGTGTCGGAGCAAAATTAACACCCGGTACTACACCCGTCTTTTATGCCCCATCAAACTCATCGGACGACGGGAGTTTAAATCTCCACACCTGCGTTCCACTCGACCGTGTCCCAGGCCGGAATCTGACGGCAGGCAAAGCAGGTTCATCTTGCATAAATTTTTTAGTGGCAGGGTCCCTGTTATCAACCGCAGGAACATCCCACTCCTCTCCTTCTAATTCACCGGGAGAGGGGATATAATATATGCACTTCTCACCACTCAATGCAATAATATATGAATAACTATAATTAAAAAAGTAGACGACTTTGGATCATATGGCCTTTTTATTTAATTTTCGTTCTCCGTTATTGTAAACGTACAAGCGAACTAACCAAGAAGCATAGGTACAGAGGAAAACAGTAATGGCTAGCTAGGTACACCGTACACACGTGTAATATAGCAAACTCTGGCTTCGTGTAGTAGTGTGGAACTTTGTTATTTATATATATATTAATTCTCAGGCCAGAACTGCTTCTGGAGATAATCCACCACATTCTTGTCCACTTGGAAGGCCTTGGTGAGGACATCAGGATTGATGGCCGGATCAGAACCGAAAACAGCATTAGCAATAGTGATTGTGCCAGGATTTTGGCTGCTGAGTCCCGCAAAAGCAATGGCGTTTGTATTTGCCACGTTTAGTTGGAAGTGGATGAGGCCAATTGGGAAGACGAAAACATCTCCGACGTTTAGAGTTTTGGTAAATAGCTTGGGAGGGTTTGAGGTGACAAAGCCAACATAGAGACTACCCTTGACCACTACTAGAATTTCAGAGGCACGAGGGTGGGTGTGAGGAGGGTTCAAGCCGCCGTAAGGTGCATAGTCAATACGAGCCAAAGAGATACCAAGAGTGTTGAGCCCTTTGAGTCGGTCGACATTAACCAAAGTGACGTTGGAGCCAACTGCGTTGGATGTATTTCCTGCCATATCGAGTCCACTAAATGTGAAGTCGTCAGCTTTGGCTTGCATTGGGTCCTTGCAGAACTTCCCATTCACAAAAACTGCTTACATATACACAAGACGTGAACATTTAGCCAAACGACAAGCATGAAATTACTAGGAAAGTAAACCAACACATGGTATATACAGCTAGGAGTAGTGAATTTAATTTGCTAGAAAGAAGATTGAGGAGTGGATGCATACCACCGAGCTTGGGGTCGTCAATGGCGACACAGAAGTCCTGAAGAGGGCTTGGATCGAATGCCGCCGCAATCGAAGCAATTCCAGCAATAAGAAGAAAAGTAGCAGCAACCCGCAGCTGATAAGCTCCTCCCATAATGCTACCTATCAATGTTTGAGCTACTACTCGATGGATCGTGTGGATATCTCAGTTTCTTTGTTGTTGCCTTGTTGGTGAAGAGTGAGATATCCTACCCGGATTGCTGGCTATTTATAGATTACAATCAGTAACATGCAGTTGAACTAGTCTCATGTTGACTTTGGAGGAACAATAACCCAGCATTCGTATGGATTATTGAAACATAAAACTTCATTGATATAGTCTTAATTTTTACCGGTTCTACGCATGCTGTGAAATGGAGACTTTGTTCAAGTGACGATTTCTCAAGTTATCGATATTGATTGGTACACCTAATCCATTCTTATATTACCGAGACTAAGTTAATAGAATTGAAAAATGATGCATGAAACATTTCGACACCCATCCCAAGGGCGGTTTTATGATAGACATCCAATCTATCCATATAAGAGTAAAAACTCTTATAAATCAGTGTCTACTGTGTACAAGTTCTATTAGTATGAGGTGTTTTGGGAAAGAACCCAAAAATAAACTAAGCCGACTTGATCTAAATTGAACATTAATATCGTACGAATGAATCATCCGAGCTCAACCGATATGGTCGCTCGTTACATAAAAATGAAACCAACATAAACTTATCCACTATATTGGTTAAGCGGTGAAGCTCATGAAAGTTTATTCTTTAGATTATTGATTAAGTATTTATTGATCTGGATCAACATTTGACAGCTTATTAACGTTAGCCGCAGCGTATATATAGCTGATAACACCAACTTGGCATGTATGTATGGTTAACTAGATAATGAGCTGAATCATGGAGATGATTTTCAGCCTAGCTAGTTAATTAATTGTGGTAGCATGCATGACGGAACATCTAAGTTCTAACCGATGTTGGAGAGCAGGTGTGCTGACTGGCTACCCCTCACAAGTTGCATCAAGTTTAACGGGTCAGCCTTGTTAACTGAAAATTATAAATATGAAAAAGTTTTGTTGTCATGTTAGGTGTCAATACACCTAAGACTAATTTTGTTTATGTATTTTTTTTTTCTCATTTACCCCATTTTGTTGTTTATTCACGTAATATTATGTTTATTCATGTAAGAGTGTAAGTTATTCACGTAAATGGAAAATCATACTTTTCCCCCTAATAATTTGTATTGGCTATATTTTATGGAATTAAATTTGGATTCTCAATTAATCTTTAAAAATATGTTGCATTAATCATAATCTACACAATGACATCAATTTTCATATATTTCAATGTTTAAAATTTTATTTAACAATGTCGTGAATAAATAATAATATCCGTGGATAAACATCAGTTTGCATGACCTAACAATATTGGTTGTATGAATAATCAACACTCTTACATGAATATCGCAAATATGGCATGAATAACACAAATGTAACTTCAATAAATAAAAAAGTGAGCGAATTTGTTGATTTGTCATCTAACGTGACAAGAAACGTAGCAGATTGGTGTGTGGCCCATAACAAGGTTCATAAGGTCTTGTCTGTCAATGGCTTAGGCTATCGATTTTGCAAGGGTCGATCGATCAAGTGATCTAAGCGTTCTTGCATGTCCTTGCTGGCAGTGTTGTTTCTTTGTTTTGTTATTTTGTGCTTTTAGTCTTTGTTAGTTCGTTTTAGTGCAGGGATGGCTGGATCCATCAAGCCTCGGTTTGTTTTCTCTCAGTTTTTTTTTCTTTTCTGATTATCTGGTCTTTTTCTGGTGTCCTTGATAGAAGTGGCTTGGCCCACTAAATCATGCCTTGTTCATTTGCTCTCCTTGAGTAGTGACGTTTGGTTAATCTCTTGTGAACCTTCACCTTTACGTTTTTCTTTGTTGTTTCGATGTACCCTCTTTTTAGTTTCAATGCAATTTCATCAACCTTATAAAAAAAAAAGTGACAAGACTTCACTCTATATATATATTATTCTGGATTCGCATTTACCCGAATCATTCCTTTAGACGATCTCCAACAATAGTGCTAGAAGTGCTAGGGAAATTGGATTCTAGATCCTATAAAATGCTTTTTTTGCTTCAATAAGGTCAAGTCTACAAAAACACACCCGATTTTTAACGTCATTTCTCTGAATGGCAGGACTAGTTTCTTACATGTTACAATTATACATTAAGGGTTTCTAAAAATAAGGTGCCAGTGTACTTAACAGAAATGGCCAAATGGGATTAACTCGCAAAATTTTGGTACATGTAATAGGGTGCATAACCACCCATGCATGAGCTCCTACCAGTAAGAGATGCTTTCACCTCATCACCTCAAGATCCTTGACTCACGTGATAGTGGAAGCTGATTGCAAGGTGGTCGCCAGCTAGATCCGACAAGGTGTTGTCTCTCATAGAGTTAGAGTCTTTCGTCTTTTTTAAATGATTTTAGTAGGGTGTCGCTTGTAAGGGGTTCCTTAATAATTTTGTTTGTCTAACTCTTGTCTTCTCTTCTCTTGATATCACTCGAGAATAAAAAAATATATATAGATCAAGGTCCTAATATTTGAATGAGGCTAGAAAAACATATATATAATGGGTGAGAATTAATAGGTTTTTATTTTTCCTAGTTTTTTAATTGTCTCCTATATTTTTCGTTCTAATTTGGATTTCTGTATTTTTTTAACATATGAAACAAGTTTGTTTTAATTTACAAAATGAGATCCATTTTCAATATATTTCAACAAAAACAATTCCACGCCTTTCGTACCACTTAGTATGACCTTCGGTTTTAACTTTGATATAATCCTGGAATTCATTCATATCCATCTAGGATTGATCATCAAAGTAATCAAGTCCACCAGCAACAAAGGATACAAATTTTGGCTAAATGTTTTTGTTGTTTCTGGAACCCAACTTTGGGAGGTCGTAGCTTGCACGTCACGTAATGAAAATGGGAGGAAGAAAGCTTGTTTTAAACACTGGGAGTTGCTATACAAGCTAGAGGGGTTGGATGTTCAGGAAGAAGCCTGGAAGTGCATTGTCAAAGCTCTCAAACTGGCTAGACCAAAACCGGGAAATGACTTGTTTTTGGCTAAGGCAAGGGACGGGTATGAGGAGCCATCTTTGAAGCTCTATATCTCAAGTCTGGGGTACCATCAAGAGCTGCTTCGACTTGGAACACAAAGAAGAACACTTCCTAAACCCAGGACTGGAATTGGCTGAGAACGACGAGCTAGGGTCATTGTCGAGTTCATCAAAGTAGTTAATGAACTCGACTGTAATCCGTGTAGCACTAGGATTCCGAATCCAACTCGGATTACTTGTTTAATTTCGTTTCCTTACTGAATTAGGTTAGTTTTGATTCGTGTTAGGGTTTGTTTGAAATTGTTTAAGCCTATAAAAGAATACTACAAATGACAATAGCAGCAAATTTATAAATAAAAAGAGATATGAAAAAGGAGAGTACCGAAAGTGAAAAAACTTACTGCATACTACAACCACCTGATGCAAATTAATTAGCCCAAGGAGAAATCTGCTAAAAAGTTGTCATACATTGGCTGCAAGACTCTCCAAATAAAAAAAACAACATATGAATAACATGATATGAATAACATGATATGAATTCAGTGTCCTAAGCCTGCTTTCATAAGCAACAATATATGTTGTCTATTTTGTACTTAGCTTCCTTCACATGACTCACAAGAAGCATCGACACTCTCCATGATGTGTAGAGAACACAGGACACACAACTGGATTAAAGGGAGCTCCAAAAAGAGGGCAAAGGCAAGGATTCTATTATTAGTCTACCTTCCAAAATCAAAGGAGCAAACAACTGCAGAATCTAAACTCGGTTCAGTTATCTGGATTGTGCATCAAACATGTAAACTTAATACTTCAGGTTCTCATATTAATCAAAATGCCAACATGAATGGTATGAAAGTATATGAAATCACTTAAATTGTCTTACCCTGCATCAAACATCAAACATCTAAACTGTCTTACACTGTAATTACTTAAATTGTCTTTCCAAAATCAGTCTACCTTTCTAAACTGTCTTACCTTGCATCAAACATCTAAACTGTCTTCCGGTAGCCAATTCAAAAATTGTAGCATCAAAGAAAGCATCATCAAAATTGAAACTAAAAAACAAATCAAAAAGTGATGAGAAGTCTATTTTGTTGTTACTTGATATATTTCTAATAAAAATATTAAAATATTATTGATAATACTCTACTGTATATATGAAGCAGGGGTAGCCAAATGCAGATAACGGGGTCTGCAATAGATCTAGAGATGGGAGGACAGGGTAAAGGTGAAGGAGAATAGCAGTACAAGTTCTAGCAGCACATTCCTGAGTAAATTGATAATCGACTGACTCTTTCCAGTCCCAAACATCAAGAACAAGGACAAACAGTTCAAGAAAAGTTTGAGCAAAGGAATCTTGTACAGCTGAAACAAAAACGAAAGAAATAAAGCCACAATTATTCTTACTCATATCCTCCCGGAAGTACCTTCCCCAGCCAAGGAAATGAGGTCCAGTATTGCCAGTCCAAGCTTGTTCAAAACTAGGAAGTTCATCTAGAAACACGGATGGGGGAAATTAGTTTATATAGCACATTATGTTGGGACAAAAATTAAGAAGTTAGAATTAGGAAGCTCACCTTGCTCAATATTGTGCAGGATCTACTGTGAATCCACATTCCCATCAGAGTTAAGCTTACATGCTAGGGTATGACCCTATGGGCAGTGATAAAAACAACATCAATCAAATCCAAATACACCATAGATGCAGAAACCGATAACAGCTACAAATAATTTAGTTGTGGGGTGACCCCCTAGAAATCCTATGAGATGCTTTGCCTGTAGAACTATAAGCTTCTTTGCTTTCTTCAAATGTTACCTGTTTTGAGTCAAAGTTATAACAATATACAAGACAAGAATACAAAAGCAACACCTTGCAATAACCTTCCATAGTTAGAAACCTCACCCCATCACTTCTAGTTCTCCTTGTCTTGGATGAAGTGTAGTAAGTTCCACCAGCACCACCATATGAGACGCTTGAACTTTGAAACACAAATCTCTTACTTTGAGGCTGAGATTGAACTCTACTTAAATTGTTGTGCCTATTTCCAGCCATCAACTTCTTGCGTTGCCTC